CAGAGGTATTGTTTTGGGGAAACGCTTAAAGAATTCACGACGAAGAGTGTCGTATCTCTCGCCACCAACAGACACAGCACGGTTGAAAAAGCCGTGATAAAGCTCTCATTAGAAGTTCACCTTACACATGATCAAGCTTTTTGGGAAACTTAAATTGAATGATAAGAAAAAATAAAGCTAAATTTACAATTTTGAATCTCTATCGTTGCCTGTGCTGGCGCCTGTGCAGAGCATTTCACGCATGCTTATTACGTTTTTCTGCTCTCAACGTAAGTAGGCAGTAGGAAAAATGCTAAATGTCAAGATTGTTGCACTACAATGTTGACTTTTTTCCATATGAATTATCAGTTGTCTACTTAAAATCGCTCTCATGTAATCAGACCTAAGCGCTGCCTTGAACTAAATGATTGAAAAGCATGGAAACCGTACCAGAACGTCCCTGGTCTAATCAAGCTCAGAACATAGTTATTTTATCCACATTATTCCTCGTCATCTTCATAGACGCCGCAGCATATTCATTGTATGCACCATTTTTCCCAAGCGAGGTGAGATGTTCTTCAATTCTTTGCATTGAAGGCATTATTTACAATATTTTCAATGTCTCACTGTTTTTCGAAATGAATTTTCGAATGTAGTGCCTTTATAGAATAAGTTATACCTAGTAGTGCCCACTGATAACAGATCTGAAAATGCAAATTTTCTGTTAATTAAATGCTTGTCTTTGTGTATACCTGATTAATTTAAGCCTAAAACCAGAGCTCATTTTATTACAGTCACTATCTATAGAGCATGGTGTAGTTCCAGAAAATATCCATGCCCCACTCCCCCCCCCTCCCAACAAAGGGCACTTTTTGTTTTAGACCCCTACCCTCCTGGACCGAGTTGTTCAAAGCTGGGTTAAGATAACCCAGGGTTAGTGCGAGATTTGAATTCAGATTTAAAAGCTTAAAAAGCATTTCAGTTTTAATTCTTTTTGTTTGCAAGTCGATGATTGAAAGCTCTAAATGTAACAGAGAAAATTATCCGAGAAAATGCTTTTGAACACAAGAAAGAGAAACCCGGGTTAAGCGCTAATCGGCCTTTGAACAACTAGGCCCTGAGGAAGTGCTTGTCATATCCCTCTTTCCCCAGGAATTTCCGTGATTTTTCCATTTTGGCTGGGTATCCTTGGAAAGGATATATTTCCGTCAAAAATGTTGTTGCACTGTACTATTATGCGAAATGTAATTGCTTTTGCGATATAGTGAGAAAAAAAATTTATTCATTTTAATACATGGTCTAGTAAACTCAATTATTCGTTGTAGAGGTCTTTGATCAACGGTAGGCCACTGCCGGAGGACCATGGAGGCGAATACCTTCTTATACTACAACACTACCAACACTACACGAGAGATGCCAACTGTAAAAGAATTAGTTATACATTCAAACTAAACACCAAGTGAACTTCTTTCAGTTAAAACATGATATAAAAGAAGGCTTAGAACAGCACCACATCACGGTGAATATAATCGCAATACCATAATAAGCAACAGATAGATAGGCGGAAGTTTATTCTTGAGCCGATGACAACTTATTTTAATACAAAGATCAAAGATCATCAATGAAAACAACAATTCTTGTTTTGAAACACTGGAAAAAAGACTTGGAAAGGCCACTCCCATTCCCCTCGGAAATCGCCTTCTTTGGACCCCCCTCCCCAGAGAACTTCCTTTGCCCTCCTTGGGGAGAGTATGGATATTTTCTAGAACTGCAAATTCCATAAAAAAAATTGCAGTTTTGCTGTAATTAATTCCATTGGGTTATAGGTTAGTTTACAAGTTAATACAAGCATAAGCATAAGTAGCGGGAGGAGACGCGCTCTTCGATCTTCCTAGATAAATCCTCTCCTCGCAGGGTAAAGCATAAGTAAACAGAGCACGAAAATTTATTCATAACTTTACTATACAGTAATTACTTCCGTCTCATATTAAAAACTTAGATAAGTCGTTTCCACAAGTGTAACTAAAAGCGACTGAAATTTGCGAGTCAATCGATAATTCCCTGCAAGCATTAGCAGAAAAATAAACCATCCAAGTTACAAATCATAAAAAAAACTCTTGATAACCGCGCCTTTTTGTTCAATCAGTTCTGCCGCTAAACTTTGGAATGATTTACCGCCGCCACACATAAGATTGGCCCCTTCTGTCCTGAGAGCATTGTAGTTTTCATTTGCCATTTTATTGCACCTTTGTTTTAAACATCCATGCCACACTCATGGGAATTTATCTCTCTTTACTTCAAATCCAGCCTTTGATCATGATTTAATTCTGGTGGAAAAAGCAGTGTAATTATTATGTTACTTTTTAGGCCTTATAATCACAACCTTATTGGTAAGCCTTCTCGCCCGAACTTCTTCTTCTTCTTTTTTGCATAAAAATAATGTAATATTTTTTTCTTTTTATTTAAAATCTTTATTTTTTTATTAGGCAGAAGATAAGGGAGTATCCACCACTGTTGTAGGATTAATCTTTGGAACTTATCCATTGGGAATGTTTATCTTTTCTTTAGCGTGCGGATTTGTTGTAAGTGGTTTCCGACATTAATTTACGGTACAATAAATGACAGGTCAATTATAAATTACTTTACCTGTTGGCTCTATTTAAATTGTTTCCTAAGCAACTTTAATACACAGATGACATTTTATATCACAATTACCTCGATTTACACGGGTTTTAATTAAAATAGAATGCGTTCAATTGATTCTCAAAAATAGTAGATCCAAGATGTCGGATGGTTCCAATTCCTTATTCAATAATATATGACGTGATCACAACATCACTTCCACTGTTAAAGATCATAATGTGTTAGCCAACTTTATGATTTTATCAATCAAGTTTTAACTAGTTGTTGGAAATGATGAGTACATTTGTATTATTCTGTGTAATTTCTGTGGCTGCTTCATGAGCGGTTGTTAAGTTATAGCGTAGGGGCCTTCGGACCCCCGGAATCAGAAAACGTCTGGTCTGAATACGGGAAATAATGACAGAGATATTTAAGCACAAACACTTTAATTTTTTTACTAAATGAATTGTAAACTCAATCTTTCAGATAACAAAGTTTGGTGCTTTCTCCGTGCTTTTATCAGGATGTCTTGTTTGCGGAGGGTCCCTTATTATGTTTGGGTAGGCTTTCTTTCTTTCTTTGCGGATTCAAAAATATGTAACCTCAGATCAGGCTCTGTTTTTTCTTCGATTCGTAAATTTAAAAAAAAAACATTACGACGGGCAAGGAGAAACGAAAAGAGAGCCTGATACAAACCTTTTACGAAACGTCTGCTGCCCACTTTTTTCGATTGATTGACATTTGCCGAATCAGCCAACCAAAATTACTTCCGTTGCATGCTTTATTAGTATGCAAATTTATCATACGCGGGATTAAAGCAGACTCGCTGACTTAAAAAATAGCTTTCATCTTTTTTTGTCTTTTTTTCGCAACTAACAATAAAACAGTCATCCAATCACATTTAACTTCTTGCGAGATTAAAGGAGATCCTGAAGGTTATTTCTGCTGCCATAGAAGGTAAAACGTTTTCGAAAAGACGGCGAGACGATGTTCTAGTTTAAATATTTTGGCTGGGAGCGCTCGATTTTTGAAATTCTGAAATTTCTTTTTCTCTTTTCTGTTGCCTTGATATTTTCCGCGGCAATTTCCGCCAATGTTCAGTGCATAAATCTTTAAAACTCTTGGAGAGATATATCGCCAACTTTTTCAAAGGATATATAAATTATCTCAGAACAAACAAAACGAGTTCTCAAGTGCATTTAATTTAGTCCACTCGCAATTTGTGAACTTACTAAACAAACAAACGTCTTAAAAAAGTATTTTTTCATAAATCTATTATTCTCTATTATCACCCGCTTTGGAAAGACGAAACGACACTAATAAAACTGCATGCTCAACTGACCTAAAACGAAAATAAAAACAGTATTGGTTATTAAGTGCAAACTCATTTTGTAGTTCTCCTTAGTGTTGTGTTGTTGTTTTATTGTAGGTCCGAAAAGCTCGCTAAATTTATTAATCGAAAACAGCCAACGAGCTCGGACAACAGTTTTCCTGGTTTATTTTTACAAAAAGCGAAGGCAAACAACAAGTCTTTTACCTTAACCGCACTAGCAGCTTTTATAATAATGCCTACAAAAATTCCCGTGAACAGCGATGCGATATTTTTCGTCTATTTTAATAAACTAAAAATATCGTCACAGCTAGCGATTGAGGTTTCTTTCGCAGTGACTGTCTATACTTGCGTAACGTTCAAAAGAAACCAGTTTTAAGATGGACAGTATTTTGACTTGCACTTGTTTGTTGGTAAATCAAAAGGCATCTTGTTCGCTGTCAACAAACCTGCAGAGGGATTGAACTCCGCGATTGAAACTCACATTAGTTCCGTAAATGAAGCAAATTCTGAAAAGATATGGACAAACATTTGAATTTTCTGAATTTGCATGACACGTATTAAGGCATATTTTCCTACCACAACACCGTAAAACACTAAAAAAAGATAGCAAAATCCTTTTCTTTGCTGACGGCGGATCATTCAACTTCCGTTTATTTCAACAGCCAATCAGATCCTGTGGCATTGTTCTAACAGCCAATCAGCGTTGCGGCCAAAATCTGGCCGCAATGAGCACAAACTTCTAAGACTTTGGATCAGGCCCAATTTTAGCGGGAGCACGTAAGAGGCAATGTATGAGACTGCTTAAGTTGGGCCTGATCTCAGGTTAAAAATATCCGGATAAATGTGGACCGAGGCCTAAACGAGGCATTTGGCCCACGCGAGAACAACAGCAACAACAAACAAAAAGTCAAAAACAACAACAACAAAAAATAACACCATTAACCTTAAGGCCATCAACAAAGAAAACAATAAGCCAACCAGCAGGTTTTTTTGATCTCGGCAAGACTACAGACCATCGGCAATCTACAGGCCAAATACAGGGCACAGCCTTCATAGTACAGTCCACACCCTTAAACCGTTTACAGCTTGTAAGAATAAAAGCTGTGAGTACAATTGAAAATGACGCGTTACATCTCTGCTACAATGATACATGGTTACGACTACGGATAAACGTATATGCAACTAATGGCACTTCTATCGAAAAAGCAATTAGGAGATGGCAAGAAAATGAAATGGGTGTAATTATTATGGGTAAAGATTTACATGTATGCCCCAGGCCGTACTTTATAGTTACTTGAAATGGTGGCGGCACTTTGAAAAGAACTAAAAAAAAAACGATTCATACAAATTTTATGTCGGCTTAAACCTTATTCCTTTCGCTTCAGTAGTTTAAGAACAACTTGTCATAACAGCCCGGAAGGTTTCCTTTCACAATTTTGGGGTCAACGAAACCCGCGTCATATATGAATACGTTTACGTTTCACAGTGAACTGCATTTGTATAGATGAAAAAAAGCAGTTCATTTTGAAACATTCCTTACAGTAACCATCTAATTTGTCTTATTTTGTTTTAGACTTTGTGGCTTTATTTCCGATACAGCTATGTTCGTAGCTTTCTGTTTTCTGCTGAGAGCGACTCTTGCAATAGGAGGGTCAGCATCAGAAGTCGCAGCCTTATCCATACTCATAGGGAAATTTCCCAACAATGTTGGAGCAGTCACAGTACGTTATTTGTGTTATGATAGCGGAACAATTAGTTCATTTGGTAAAGCACTGGTCTGAATAACGTGAGGTCGAGTATTCTGTCTCAAAATAATTGAGGACAAAGATGCTGCCTGGCGCCTGCAAAACCTTTGCCTGTCTTGGATGACAAATCCGGCAGAGCTCGGCAGGGAATAAAGCCAATGTCCTAGATAGTAATACACGCTTTAAACATGGGAATAAGAGAGCATTTTTGTCCCAAGCATTTACTAAGTAAAACATGCAAAAGAAAAGAGAACACTGATTGGCTCTTCTGACTGCCTCCGCCTACTTTGATTGCATGGCCAGAGTGACTCAGATTTTGAGTTTCCGACGTCTGTTGTCAAATGCAGAAGTACTGGAGACTGAGCCAAAAAAGGGTGAATGTTCATGTTAATAAAGACTCGTCCAATTCCCTTTATGCCGAGGATATCCTTTTCTTCCTAAAACTGGAGTTAATAAGGCCCATTTTCACCGGCGTGAAAAAAAGAAGGAACTATGAAGAGGAAATGCTCGAATCATTAGCTTTTTCGTTCCCTTTTTTTTCAGTGTTTTTACAGTGATAAAGTTGACTTTTCAATCACATTTTTGGTTTTCTCTCTACCCAACGAAGCGACACCTTTTAATCAATTAAAATTGACTTGACACAAACCTCTTTATTCCTATTATAATAACCTCTACTATTTTCTTTTGTTTTCGCTTTCTTAGGGAGCCAGAGCGACATCTTATGGAGTTGGGCTTTCCCTTGGTCCAGCTTTAGGAGGATTTCTTTACTCGGTATGTTAAAACAGAGAAAGCTTTATAAATATGAATGCTTTTTCTCGCTGCTTAATGTGGCTCCATTATCCAAAAAACGCATTAAGCTATGGTAGACTTTTTGTCATAACTGTTTTAATTTTACGAAACTTTGGAAGGAACTACATCATTCAGCTATGAAAAGAAATAATCGGATTTTACTGATGTTAAATAATTTTTTACGAAATTAGCGGTTAAGTGGATCCATCGCATCTAGTAAAAAATGTTGCTGATATTTTTGACTGAAATTTCTGGTATGGGCTTTTATTGATATAATAACTGATGCCATATTAATTTCAGAGGAATCGTTGGAGCAGAAATCCGTAACTAGAAAATCCTTTGAAATTCAGCTATGAATTGAAGGAACCACCAATTTGAATTTTCTAATTTTCTAATGTTTGCTAATTCTTGAAACAAAGCCGATTACCAATCGTGTTATTATTTAAGAGGTACTCCTTAGTATTAGAAACACTATAAATTGCTCCAAGCCTTGCTCTGAAGCGAATGACTTGTTCCTCAACATTTTTGGAATATCCTTCAACAGTTTTGGCTGAAACCTCCCCTACATACATTTTTATTACAATGCATCTTCATTGGCTTTTTCTGCTGTGCATTGCTGCAAATTAGACAAATAGGTGCTCGTCCTCACGTGACAATGATTTTCCAGGTCATGAAACGGGAGGGTTTTGATCTGAGAGTACAGTATGTTGCCCAGTATCCGGCCACTTAAAACAAAAAACGCTTTGCAGCGCCCTTTTTAGTTTTCGGTAAACAAAGTATTTCGAATGGTAGCTGAAGATTTCAGCTTTAAAATGCAAGTTTTGGCGGGTTTACAGCTTGAGAAACAGTCGCAGAAGGCGCCGTTCTGTCCGGAAGGGAATCTAAGGCAGTCTTGGATTCTGGCTTCCAAGGCGTGGATTTTGGATTCCAGGTACTTGATTCCGGTCTTTGTCAGTGGAACCTGGATTCTGGATTCCAATCCTTAGTAGGATTGCGGATTCCTTGAGCTGCATTCCGGATTCGAAAGCCCGGGATTCCTGATTGCACAAGCAAAATTTTCCCGGATTCCACAGGCAAAAATCTCCCGGATTTCGGAATCCGTATTTGGCCTTACATGGGGGGGACGGGTGAGTAAACTTTTCATGGCTAATATTTATGCTGTCTACATTGCAGTAAAACTGGTGGTGTTCATATAAGGGTTGGTAATATGTAATATTTTCAAAGAAACTGGTTTGTATTTTTACGTGAAGATACTTAAATTTATTAATTCTTCTCGAAATTCAATCTGTCTGGAATAACGGAGGCCAGGAACATTCACTAAGTACTGATGCCAAGTGCCCAGTGTCCGGCCAGTTTTTGCTTTCCTGTGTAATGAATTGGTTGCGTACATTAACCGGGCAAGATTTATGTCATATCTATAACAATAATTAAAGCTTAGGTTATACAATGTAATTCTACTCAACTCCTTATGGAAATTTTCTTGACTCATTCAGAGGCGAATAAGAGGCGAATTGATTTCCTATGCACGGCTTGTTTCGCGTGACTGCAGTGCATTAATTTTTCTTTATATAACTGGAAGCGCGAAGTTGAAACGGGGATTCTCACACAAATGGCGGGGGCGGCAGGGGCGTAGTCAGCAGCCTATAGACCTGTAGGGCCGAGCCTACAAATATTTTGTTTAATTGCTCTAAATTATGCATTCTTGGGGTGAGCTAAAAAGCTTAAATAGCGGTCATAACTGTTATCTACGTTATAAATCATATTAACTAAAAGAGCCATTAGCATTGTATTTATTTTTAAAAACTTGTTATATTACACATTCTTTGTAACTAGTCTCCTTTCAGTTATTTTTCTAGGAGCGAGTGTTAATTTTTGTTCTTATTTCTGACAACCCGCATCGATTATAGCTATGCTAATTAACTGCGGTTTGTAATGTTTATAACACACTTTCTTTATAAAAATGACTTGTTGTTTTTGCTGTTAGTGTTGGTGAGGCCAGTGGGTACTAGCCATGCGTACAATTTTCAGGATATGTGGAAATGAAAGTCAGTTAGGCCTACAACTAGTCGAAAAGCTGGTTACGCCCCTGCATGGGGTTGCTACGGCCTGAAAAATTTGTCATTAAAGGGACTGCGAGATGTGAAAGAAGGAGGAATTAGTGCTAGAAGACGGCAGCCCAAATGTGGAGTCTGTGCACGAAGAAGATCAACACTGTACATCAGACTATTTGGGAGAGTGACCTTTGACCGGCGGAATGGCCCTTCTCCTTTTTTTTTTTTACAAAAAATGAAGGAAAAAACTGGTTCGCAGATTGGCTAATTGAACTTGCATTTTATAGGAAAAATATCAGGATTTTTGTTAGTTTCTTTTCTCATTTTTTTCTCTCCACATCTCCAACTTTATTGATCAGCCCGCTCGTCATTTGTTACGTTTTGTTTCACGATGCTAGGTTCCCAGGTTGATTTATATTTTTGGAATGGAATGCCAGGCCACTTCGCAAGCTTTTGCAAGTGCAACAGAAGATTAAGGGCCTGTTTACATGGAGGCGGGGGACCCCAGGTAGGTGAGGCAACCGGCTTAGGTGTGGTAACCCGCCTGTCCATATAATCTCTCATTTTAATTTGATCACGTTTACATGATAGGTGGGGTGACCCGTCAGGCGGGCAGCCCGGTCTGCCAGACCGGGTTACCCTCTCAGCCGGGGTTAAATTTTGCCATGTAAACGTTTCAAGGTGGGGTAACCCGCCTAGCCGGGGTCGGATTTGCGATACATCAAATTCGCGCAAAATTCACTTTGGCGTTGGCTTTGCATCATTATTAAAGTTAACAATTGAGAGCCACATCACTGAGGGTTTCAGCAAGAGCAGCAAGTGAGTGTAGAAGAGCATTAATCGCCAAAACACGTGGTTTGCCAGCATTTTTCTTGTTTACGTGCTTAGCGACCATTCAATAGTCTTGAGAAAGTGCACCCCGGGATAGCGGGGTTGTGACATTGCTTATAAAGGAAGGTTATGTTTTTACGCCACCTAAGCAGGTTACTTCACCTACCTGGGGTTCCCCACCTCTATGCAAACAGGCCCTGAAAGTCGCTTGTCTGTCGAAATTTATGTATAATTACATTGTTATTGTTGTGGCCGGATACTGGGCAACATAGGAGCTCTGCCAAAATATTAATTTCGGGATGGAAAAGAAGGCAAAAAAAAATGAAGCTGTCTTTCATCATGTTAAGGACTAAAAAGATTGTCTATGGGCCAAATTTCAGAACTATTGCGACCAAGAAAGGAAAGTTATTGCAATGTGTTAAAAAGAAGTGGCCGGATACTGGGCAACATGCTGTACAGTGAAACCTGTATCAAGAAGACACCCACAGTTACCCACGCCAGAGTCTGCGTACCAAAAATGGCTTTCTAAGAAAGTTCGTAACTCTTCGTGACTTTATATAAGAGGTTGTCAGCCTTCTAGTACAGGATGTCCGCTTAACATGGGGTCTGCTTCGTACAGGTTTCTCCGCTGTCATCATTCCGATATGATAAAATGTTCATATTTTAGAAAAAGGGAAATTATCCTTCTAAAACTCAGGCGAAGTCTTATTTGGGTCACGTTTTACAGCAATAAGTTGAACGTCAGATCTTTTATAGTCTTATTCTCACACACAGGTCGGTGGCTTTACAGCTCCGTTTACTGTGATAGGCTGTGTTTTTTGTCATAACTGTTTTAATTTTACGAAACTTTGGAAGGAACTACATCATTCAGCTATGAAAAGAAATAATCGGATTTTACTGATGTTAAATAATTTTTTACGAAATTAGCGGTTAAGTGGATCCATCGCATCTAGTAAAAAATGTTGCTGATATTTTTGACTGAAATTTCTGGTATGGGCTTTTATTGATATAATAACTGATGCCATATTAATTTCAGAGGAATCGTTGGAGCAGAAATCCGTAACTAGAAAATCCTTTGAAATTCAGCTATGAATTGAAGGAACCACCAATTTGAATTTTCTAATTTTCTAATGTTTGCTAATTCTTGAAACAAAGCCGATTACCAATCGTGTTATTATTTAAGAGGTACTCCTTAGTATTAGAAACACTATAAATTGCTCCAAGCCTTGCTCTGAAGCGAATGACTTGTTCCTCAACATTTTTGGAATATCCTTCAACAGTTTTGGCTGAAACCTCCCCTACATACATTTTTATTACAATGCATCTTCATTGGCTTTTTCTGCTGTGCATTGCTGCAAATTAGACAAATAGGTGCTCGTCCTCACGTGACAATGATTTTCCAGGTCATGAAACGGGAGGGTTTTGATCTGAGAGTACAGTATGTTGCCCAGTATCCGGCCACTTAAAACAAAAAACGCTTTGCAGCGCCCTTTTTAGTTTTCGGTAAACAAAGTATTTCGAATGGTAGCTGAAGATTTCAGCTTTAAAATGCAAGTTTTGGCGGGTTTACAGCTTGAGAAACAGTCGCAGAAGGCGCCGTTCTGTCCGGAAGGGAATCTAAGGCAGTCTTGGATTCTGGCTTCCAAGGCGTGGATTTTGGATTCCAGGTACTTGATTCCGGTCTTTGTCAGTGGAACCTGGATTCTGGATTCCAATCCTTAGTAGGATTGCGGATTCCTTGAGCTGCATTCCGGATTCGAAAGCCCGGGATTCCTGATTGCACAAGCAAAATTTTCCCGGATTCCACAGGCAAAAATCTCCCGGATTTCGGAATCCGTATTTGGCCTTACATGGGGGGGACGGGTGAGTAAACTTTTCATGGCTAATATTTATGCTGTCTACATTGCAGTAAAACTGGTGGTGTTCATATAAGGGTTGGTAATATGTAATATTTTCAAAGAAACTGGTTTGTATTTTTACGTGAAGATACTTAAATTTATTAATTCTTCTCGAAATTCAATCTGTCTGGAATAACGGAGGCCAGGAACATTCACTAAGTACTGATGCCAAGTGCCCAGTGTCCGGCCAGTTTTTGCTTTCCTGTGTAATGAATTGGTTGCGTACATTAACCGGGCAAGATTTATGTCATATCTATAACAATAATTAAAGCTTAGGTTATACAATGTAATTCTACTCAACTCCTTATGGAAATTTTCTTGACTCATTCAGAGGCGAATAAGAGGCGAATTGATTTCCTATGCACGGCTTGTTTCGCGTGACTGCAGTGCATTAATTTTTCTTTATATAACTGGAAGCGCGAAGTTGAAACGGGGATTCTCACACAAATGGCGGGGGCGGCAGGGGCGTAGTCAGCAGCCTATAGACCTGTAGGGCCGAGCCTACAAATATTTTGTTTAATTGCTCTAAATTATGCATTCTTGGGGTGAGCTAAAAAGCTTAAATAGCGGTCATAACTGTTATCTACGTTATAAATCATATTAACTAAAAGAGCCATTAGCATTGTATTTATTTTTAAAAACTTGTTATATTACACATTCTTTGTAACTAGTCTCCTTTCAGTTATTTTTCTAGGAGCGAGTGTTAATTTTTGTTCTTATTTCTGACAACCCGCATCGATTATAGCTATGCTAATTAACTGCGGTTTGTAATGTTTATAACACACTTTCTTTATAAAAATGACTTGTTGTTTTTGCTGTTAGTGTTGGTGAGGCCAGTGGGTACTAGCCATGCGTACAATTTTCAGGATATGTGGAAATGAAAGTCAGTTAGGCCTACAACTAGTCGAAAAGCTGGTTACGCCCCTGCATGGGGTTGCTACGGCCTGAAAAATTTGTCATTAAAGGGACTGCGAGATGTGAAAGAAGGAGGAATTAGTGCTAGAAGACGGCAGCCCAAATGTGGAGTCTGTGCACGAAGAAGATCAACACTGTACATCAGACTATTTGGGAGAGTGACCTTTGACCGGCGGAATGGCCCTTCTCCTTTTTTTTTTTTACAAAAAATGAAGGAAAAAACTGGTTCGCAGATTGGCTAATTGAACTTGCATTTTATAGGAAAAATATCAGGATTTTTGTTAGTTTCTTTTCTCATTTTTTTCTCTCCACATCTCCAACTTTATTGATCAGCCCGCTCGTCATTTGTTACGTTTTGTTTCACGATGCTAGGTTCCCAGGTTGATTTATATTTTTGGAATGGAATGCCAGGCCACTTCGCAAGCTTTTGCAAGTGCAACAGAAGATTAAGGGCCTGTTTACATGGAGGCGGGGGACCCCAGGTAGGTGAGGCAACCGGCTTAGGTGTGGTAACCCGCCTGTCCATATAATCTCTCATTTTAATTTGATCACGTTTACATGATAGGTGGGGTGACCCGTCAGGCGGGCAGCCCGGTCTGCCAGACCGGGTTACCCTCTCAGCCGGGGTTAAATTTTGCCATGTAAACGTTTCAAGGTGGGGTAACCCGCCTAGCCGGGGTCGGATTTGCGATACATCAAATTCGCGCAAAATTCACTTTGGCGTTGGCTTTGCATCATTATTAAAGTTAACAATTGAGAGCCACATCACTGAGGGTTTCAGCAAGAGCAGCAAGTGAGTGTAGAAGAGCATTAATCGCCAAAACACGTGGTTTGCCAGCATTTTTCTTGTTTACGTGCTTAGCGACCATTCAATAGTCTTGAGAAAGTGCACCCCGGGATAGCGGGGTTGTGACATTGCTTATAAAGGAAGGTTATGTTTTTACGCCACCTAAGCAGGTTACTTCACCTACCTGGGGTTCCCCACCTCTATGCAAACAGGCCCTGAAAGTCGCTTGTCTGTCGAAATTTATGTATAATTACATTGTTATTGTTGTGGCCGGATACTGGGCAACATAGGAGCTCTGCCAAAATATTAATTTCGGGATGGAAAAGAAGGCAAAAAAAAATGAAGCTGTCTTTCATCATGTTAAGGACTAAAAAGATTGTCTATGGGCCAAATTTCAGAACTATTGCGACCAAGAAAGGAAAGTTATTGCAATGTGTTAAAAAGAAGTGGCCGGATACTGGGCAACATGCTGTACAGTGAAACCTGTATCAAGAAGACACCCACAGTTACCCACGCCAGAGTCTGCGTACCAAAAATGGCTTTCTAAGAAAGTTCGTAACTCTTCGTGACTTTATATAAGAGGTTGTCAGCCTTCTAGTACAGGATGTCCGCTTAACATGGGGTCTGCTTCGTACAGGTTTCTCCGCTGTCATCATTCCGATATGATAAAATGTTCATATTTTAGAAAAAGGGAAATTATCCTTCTAAAACTCAGGCGAAGTCTTATTTGGGTCACGTTTTACAGCAATAAGTTGAACGTCAGATCTTTTATAGTCTTATTCTCACACACAGGTCGGTGGCTTTACAGCTCCGTTTACTGTGATAGGCTGTGTTATGATTTTCACAACTCCATGGGTTTTCCTGTTTTTACGAAGAACAGGTTAGTAAAGAAAACTCTAAGCTTCTTTATTTTGCATTGAAGAAATCTTTGGCCAACTAGCCTGTACCAGATTCTTGGACAGAGTGGACGAGTAAAAAAAGCGAGCATTTTCACGTCGTAGTCGTGCAAAAACGGAAAAGAAATGAACAAAAAAGTGTGACGTGCGAAGTTGTTGTCTTACCTATTGAATAAGGTTATGATCATGATTGGTCAAAATTGACCAATCATAGGGTTTACCAGGAGCTGGTATACCGGAATGAGGTATTGAAAACAATGCTTACAGGCCCCACTTACCCGTCTCTCGCCACCTCCCCCGCTGTTTTCTGGCATCTTTTCTCGATGCGCTTTCCGTACTATCTTAGAGCCTGGAACACGCTACCCCTTACCAAGATTACGAATGAATATTTTGATGAATTTTTAAGGTGGCTTAACATAGCTTAATGTGCATCTTAAGCTCTCTAAGGAAAAAAATTAAAGGACAAGCTGAGAAAAGTTCCCATAGAAGAAATGCCAGTAGAAATTTCTTTTACAAATAGCATGATCTCTGCGCTCATTTGCGTTTTGAGCATGTGTACTTAGGGAGTAATGTGAGAGTGCTCGCTTCAGTTGACCGTCATAGACAACGACGATATCTTACAATCCAAGAGAGCATAAAGGGGACAGAGAGGGCATCCCCCATACACACCCTATTCCATAGGTAATTCGTCTCGAGTTATTTTTAAGACCACAGATCCCAATGGGGATAAGACAACAGCCAATCACATAGCGCGAATGTGTTCCGCGTGGATGACCCGTGCTCAGAGCCACGCGTCCTTCACGAATTGACGCTGAAAAAAATGGCGGAAGACGCGGAGAGCGGTAGTGCTATTCGTTTTGTCGACGAGAACTAGTAAAGAGAGATTTCTACTACAGCGGACTGTCAGCGAAATGGGAATTAAAAAAGAATCGCCCTTCCTCTCTTGTATAGAGCTAACAGTACATCAGGGAAATCCTTAACACACTGAATATTCTCTCAGGATCATTTATAATTTGCAGTTTGAAGAGAGCAATTTCTGGTTGATATTTATTCTTTTATTAGTCGTTTATTATTCAACAAAAATAACACTTGGCGTCCTACTTGCTTTATTGTACAAACGACCGGTTTCAATAGACCGGCGAAATTTCTGAAATTACTGAGGTTACGACAACTTCGTGTTAAACTGATTTCACGGGTTGTCAAAGAGTCCAGCAATTCCCTCTTCCCAGGTGAGCGCCGACTCATTTCGCTTCAATATTCAGAAATGCTCTCGATCTCTTTACGCTTTCATTGCCATTCGCCCGACATGTTTTGCGCGGCGTTTAGTCATGCGAAACCTCCACGAAACATCCACGCAGCGCGCGAGGTAACTTTATCCCGATTCTAAAAATAACTCGAGACAAATTACCTATGGAATAGGGTGTGTATGGGGTATGCCTTCTCTGTCCCCTTTATCCTCTCTTGTACAATCTAATCATTAAATTTTAATGAAATTTTGCAGAAATCCTTTTCATATCGTAGTTCAGTCAATGAAAGCTTCAAAATGAAAGTTAAACAAGGAAGTTTTGCGACACAGTCTAGTTTTATAGAAAAGGAGATCATCGCAGTTATAGAGGCAACTTTCACAGTTGCGTAAAGAAAGCCTGAAAAAAAATTCAGGCTTTTACGGGATTCGAACCCTTGACCTCTGCGATACCAGTGCAGCGCTCTTACCAACTGAGCTAACAGGCCAATTGGAAGTTTCTTATGAAAGCTTCTTCACTAAAAATGTCAAAACCTGTCCGTTATAATTTAGCTTAAATGAGGGTCACTAATTGTAAGCTGTGTGGAAATTTATCCGGAAACCTTAAGACTGGATTTTGCATAAACCTACTAAATTCAAAAGTTTACGCTTGTTTTCAACGATCATCCATGTTCCTACGGCAACGATCAAAATCTCGCGTTTCATCTAATGAATGTAATATCTTATAAATATATTTTGTCTATGCCAAATTTGGGCTTTACTAATGAACGGTAACGATCCACAAACTAAAGCTGCAAAGTTCGGAGAGCAAAATGTTTCTAAACTTACCTTCGGAAAATGTTTGGTTGATTTATCTATTTGCGCTGGAATTTAACCCAATCTAATGTTCACTGCTTTTTTTGGCTGAAACTTGTGTTTTAATGTAAACCTAGTAGTAAACTACTCGTGGAGTTTACTTGTGTTACCATTTTACTCAGAAAAACAGACCGACGAGAAAACAGCTGAGGAATCAACAACCATCTTCAAGGCATTACGAATTCCTGGTACATTTATATCTGGTATGTACACAGAGTTTTTCTAAATGTCAATATAACTTACAACAATAGATCTTGAAACATTTATGGCTAGATAAGGTCTTTTTTTTGCCACCAGTCAGAGCGCTGTTAAGCAGGACATGGCAATCGAGACATTTATTTCAACACTTCATTGACAATCGCTGTATGTTGTTTCTAGCGCTTTCATTTGCCGTCAGTGGTTGTTCCTTTGGATATATAGAGCCCATTTTTGAACCCTATATGATACAGGTAAGCTTTTAGTAGTAGTAGTAGTAGTAGTAGTAGTAGTAGTAGCAGTAGCAGTAGCAGTAGCAGTAGCAGTAGCAGTAGCAGTAGCAGTAGCAGTAGCAGTAGCAGTAGCAGTAGCAGTAGCA